TGACAGTGTAATGCATTTAGGGCCCTTAAGATAATTGTAGCAGAGATTGCGAGTTATTTTATTGGTAATTTCCTAAGTATTGTGTGGTTAGGGTTTCAAATCATCATGGAGGATATTATGAAAAAAGTGGAAGTAAGAACTCGGCTTTTGGGAATGGATTTTTTTTTTTTGACATATTGGTACTTTTGTTGAAAGATAAATTGAAGGTATAAGTGGTACGTAGTTGTAGATGTGAGCTCGTGGTGCCTCCTGCTAAACATTTTTACCTCCTCCTCCCAACAGAATTTGTTCCATTTGGCCATGGACGATGACCCAGATGTGCGCAAAAATGTATGTCGAGCCCTTGTTATGCTCCTGGATGCTCACATTTCTTCTTTGATTCCTCATATGCACAACATCATTGAATACATGATGATCAGAACACAGGTAAGCCACTGGAGTACTCTCAAGGCTGTGTACTTTTCTGGAGAGATACTTGATTAATGAAATTCATTTTGGATATACATTTTCCATCCATTAGTGAGGTGTTGATTATTGCAAGATGTGTAAGTCTAATGTGTTTTTTATTTTAGATCTAATAAAAGAATTATGTTAAATTTTCCTTTAATTTTCAGGATCCGGATGAAAATGTAGCCTTGGAAGCTTGTGAATTCTGGTTGTCGTTGGCTGAGCATCCAATCTGCAAAGAGACCCTGAAACCACACCTACCAAAGTTGATACCCATATTAGTTCGGGGCATGAAGTACTCTGAAATTGATATCATCCTTCTCAAGGTCTGTGTTGATTTTGTTATTTGAGAGGAAATTAGTAACAGCTGTTAGTATCTTGTGCCCAAGTTTTCTGGCTTTAGGAAATTATAAATGGTTTTATGGGCAACTTATAGTTTAGGTTCCTTGGAATTGGTAAAGTATGCAATTGGTGAATTCAGGTTCTTTGTTCTATGGAAGTATAACAAGTTTTGTCGTGTATTAGGGCGATGTTGAGGAGGACGAGAGTGTACCAGACCGTAGCGAAGACATTAAACCTCGGTTCCACAAATCTCGACACACAATCCGTCACGAACCAATGGAGAATGGAGGTAGTGGGGAGGAGTTTCCCGATGACGAGTCTGATGATGGTCTAGATGATGATTCTTCTTTGTCAGATTGGAATTTGAGAAAGGTTAGTATATTACAATAATATTATTGCATTGGTCTGTTTTGAAATATGATGTGTGTATAGATGTTCAGAGAAATTCCGGAGTAACTTTTTCAGCTTGAATTTCAGTTTTTTTTTATTTACCATGCCTTTTTCAGTGCTCAGCTGCTGCGTTAGACGTTCTTGCCAATGTGTTCCGAGATGATATGTTGCCTGTCATCTTGCCAATATTAAAAGAAACTCTCTTCCACCAAGAATGGGAGATT